CTGCTAGTTTGCATTAAAGTCATTAAATGTTGCTGCGTGTTACAGAGTCGAGCTCCGGTCAGCTGGAACAGCCTGCTGGTTATTGGGAATGTTCCCGACACACCAAGCGGGTCCTCTGAGGTCGAGAAATTGGTGCGACGCTTTGGAACAGTCATCAAGACCCTCGTGCTCAGCAGCATGGTGAGAGCTGTGCAGCTGTGCAGCACTCAGCTGCTCGGCTTTAAAAACCTCGAGTCACCTCGAGGAAAGTTGTAAAGACACAGGACTCAACTTCATAGCATTAAACTGGTGTTTGCCCGACTGTTGCAGACATGCAGTTTGCTAACACGCTTGTTTGTCTTTGTGGTTGAGAGTAAGCATTGAAAACGCAGTGGGTGACATCCACATGACCCCTCACAGTCCCTACAAACATTTTGCAAAACAAAGAAACCTCACGTGCTTCACGTCACGTCTTCTCTTCCTGCTCAGGTGATTTGTGAGATGGCCACTGCAGCCATGGCCCTGTCCGTGTACAAGCGCTTCCAGGCGTTTCCGTGTATAATCCAGAACAACCCGCTGTTCTTCTCCCGCAAGCCCGACCCCAAAGCCAGCACGCAGACTAAAGCCATCGCTGCCCCTCACGATGCATCCGAGGTCACTACCACTGATATTTGGTTACAGTTAACACGGCATCCATGTACATTTACTCATTTCTGGAGATTCAGCTTTTCTTAAATGCTTGTGCATGTGTGCATCTGCAGGATCCACCTGCGAATGGCCAAGCAAAGCAGACGTCTGCAGACAGAGAGGAAGCAGCGCACAGTTCAGGATCTCCCGAGGAGAGGATTGACAAACACGGAGACGGAGATGCTAATAAGATGACGGGCAGGGAGGAAACAGCTGAAGAGGTTTTAGAGGCATGCAAAGACGGTAACGTGGAAAAAGACGAGCTCACGGTTTGTGACTCTGCACCGGAGAATCAGTTAGAAGCAGACACAACGGGAACGTCAGGCATTGACGTCAAGACGACGGAGGAGAGTAAAGTCAGTGCATCTGAAGCAGAACAAACTCCTGCAGACGAAGAGTCACAGCCGCCTCGCCTGGACGGCGAAGCAGGTTCTGAGGAAGCAGCCGAGCTGCCCAAGGTGTGTGCACACAAACACGTGATTACATGCATACAAAATGATGTTTGACAGTTAAAAGTGTTTCTGCTGTAACGTCACCAGGTAACTCAAGCCATGGTTAATGCGCTGCTTGTGGAGTGCAGAACAGGGCCCACCGGCAGCAGCAGAGCAGCACCCCCCAGTGGAGAAAAGGGGGAACACCAGACAGAGACTAAGCTGGGCCAAAAAGCAACAGAGACTAAAGAGATGACCAAAAAACAGATGGGCGTGGAAGGTGAGGTGAAGAGGCAGGAGAAGGAGAGAAAAGAGGCAAGAAAGGAGAAGGAGGTGAGGGAGCGAATGAAGAGGCAACGGGAGAGGGACAGAAGGGGCTGGGAGAAGGAGGAGAGAGCCAAGAGGGAGTGGGCTGAGAAATCCAGGAGGGAGAGGAGGGAGGAGGAAAGAAGGGAGTGGGAGAGGAAGGAAAGGGAGAGAAGGGAGAGGAAGAGGGCCCACGGCAACGGTCTATCGGGGTCGAGGTTGTCCTCCAGGTC